CAACGCGTTCCAGACACCCACCACCCTCTGCGTAAAGAACTTTCCACGCGTAGCTCCCTTAAACTTTTCCCCTCTCACCTTGAAATCGTGACCCCTAGTAATTGAGTCCCCCACTCTGGGGGAAAAAGCTTCTTGGCATCCACCTGAACACCCAGATCTCCCTGTGCATCAATTTTCCCCAGGGCTTTTCCATTTATCACATAGTTCGCTCTTGAATTGAATCTTCCAAAATGCATCACCTTGCATTTACCTGGATTGAACTCCATCTGCCATTTCTCCGCCCAATTCTCCAATCTATATTCTGATGTATTCTCCGACAGTCCCCTTCACTATCTGCTACTCCACCAATATTAGTGTCCTCTGCAAACTTGCTAATCAGACCATCGACACCTTCCTCCAGATCATTTATGTACATCACAAAAGTGATCCCAACACGGATCACTGTGGAACACCACTGGTCACAGTTCTCCATTTTGAGAAACTCCCTTTCACTACAACTCTGTCTCCTGTTGCCCAGCCAGTTCTCTATCCATCTAGCTAGTACACTCTGGACCCCATGCGACTTCACTTTCTCCATCAGCCTACCATGGGGAACCTTATCAAACGCCTTACTGAAGTCCATGAAAATGATATCCACAGCCCCTCCCTCATCGATCAACTTTGTCACTTCCTCAAAAGAATTCTATCAAGTTGGTAAGACATGACCTTCCCTGCACAAAACCATGCTGCCTGTCACTAATAAGCCCAAATGTAAATAGATCCTATCTCTCAGTATCTTCTCCAGCAGCTTCCCACCACTGACGTCGGGCTCACCGGTCTATAATTACCTGGATTATCCCTGCTACCCTTCTTAAACAAGGGGACAACATTAACAATTCTCCAGTCCTCTGGGACCTCACCCGTGCTCAAGGATGCTGCAAAGATATCTGTTAAGGCCCCAGCTATTTCCTCTCTCATTTCCCTCAGTAAGCTGGGATAGATCCCATCCGGACCTGGGGACTTGTCCACCCTCATGCCTTTTAGAATACCCAACACTTCCCCCGCCTTCCTTATGCCGACTTGACCTAGAGTAATCAAACATCTATCCCTAACCTCAACATTCGTCATGTCCTTCTCCTCAGTGAATACCGATGCAAAGTACTCATTAAGAATCTCACTCATTTTCTCTGACACCTCGCATAACTTCCCTCCTTTGTCCTTGAGTGAGCCAACCCTTTCTCTAGTTACCCTCTTGCTCCTTATGTATGAATAAAAGGCTTTGTGATTTTCCTTAACCCTGTTTGCTAAAGATATTTCATGACCCCTTTTAGCCCTCTTAATTCCTCGTTTCAGATTGGTTTTCCCAATATTCTTCCAAAGCTTCGTCTGTTTTCAGTCGCCGAGACCTTCTCCTTTTTCCTCTTTGCTAGTCTCACAATTTCACCTGTCATCCATGGTTCCCTAATCTTGCCCTTTCTATCCCTCGTTTTCACAGGGACATGTCTGTCCTGCACTCTCATCAACCTCTCTTTAAAAGCCTCCCACATATCAAATGTGGATTTACCCTCAAACAGCTGCTCCCAATCCACATTCCCCAGCTCCTGTCGAATTTTGCTGTAGTTGGCCTTCCCCCAATTTAGCACTCTTCCTTGAGGACCACTCTCGTCTTTGTCCATGAATATTCCAAAACTTACAGAATTGTGATCACTATTCCCAAAGTAATCCCCTACTGAAATATCAACCACCTGGCCGGGTTCATTCCCCAACACCAGGTCCAGTATGGCCCCTTCCCGAGTTGGACTATTTACATACTGCTCTAGAAAACCCTCCTGGATGCTCCTTACAAATTCTGCTCCATCTAAACTCCTAACACTAAGTGAATCCCAGTCAATGTTGGGATAATTAAAATCTCCCATCACCACCACCCTGTTGCTCCTACATCTTTCCATAATCTGTCTACATATTTTTGCCTCTATCTCACGCTCGCTGTTGGGAGTCCTGTAGTACAGCCCCAACATTGTTACTGCACCCTTCCTATTTCTGGGCTCTGCCCATATTGCCTCACTGCTCGAGTCCTCCGTAGTGCCCTCCTTCAGCACAGCTGTGATATCCTCTTTGACCAGTAATGCAACTCCTCCAACCCTTTTACCTCCGTCTCTATCCCGCCTGAAGCATCTATATCCTGGGATATTTAGTTGCCAATCTTGCCATTCCCTCAACCAAATCTCAGTAATAGCTTTAACATCGTACTCCCAGGTACTAATCCAAGTCCTAAATTCATCTGCCTTACCTACTACACTTCTCGCATTAAAACAGACCACCTGTCCCTTTGCGTTCATCGTGTGCTCTCTGACTACTCTTCCCCTTAGTCACACAGACTTCATTATCTAGTTTCTTACAGGCTTTAGTTACTACCTCCTTGCTGTCCACTAACCTGCTCATTTGGTTCCCATCCCCCTGCCACGTTAGTTTAAACCCTCCCCAACACGTTAGCAAAAGCAGCCCCTAGAACATTGGTTCCAGTCCTGCCCAGGTGTCAACCGTCCAATTTGTAATAGTCCCACCTCCCCCAGAACCGGTCCCAATGTCGCATAAATCTGAACCCCTCCCTCCTGCACCATCTCTCAAGCCACTCATTTATCCTGCCTATTTTTTCATTTCTACTCTGACTAGCACGTGGCACTGGTAGCAATCCTGAGATTGCTGCCTCTGAGGTCCTACTTTTTAAACTTGGCTCCTGACTCCCTAAATTCTGCTTGTAGGACCTCATCCCGTTTTTTTACCTATATCATTGGTGCCTATATGCACCACGACAGCTGGCTGTTCATCCTCCTCCTTCAGAATGTCCTGCAGTCGATCTGAGAGATCCCTGACCTGTGCACCTGGGAGGCAACATACCATTCAGGAGTCTCGTTTTCATCCACAAAACCGCCTATCTACTCCCCTTACAATCGAATCCCCTTTGACTATAGCCCTTCCACTCTTTTTCCTGCCCTTCTGTACAGCAGAGCCAGCCACAGTGCCATGAACCTGGCTACTGCTGCCTTCCCCTGGTGAGCCATCCCCCCCAACAGTATCCACGACCACGAAGAGACACGACCAATTCTCTCATTCCATCTGAAATTTCAACAAACATGTTGAACTGGACCCGATATACAAACCACTGAGAAACGGAACTGGAAGTAATGCTAACCACCCCAGCAAACCGAGGCATATAGATAAAAAGCAGGACAGAACACCAAAGGTGCACTGACAATGTTACCTCGCAGCGTGACAAAACGTCTGCAACCAAACACACCAGATATGTGAGCACGTCTACAACCTCATCCACAAACCGAGCTACAAATCTTCTGAAAAACTTTAAGCCTTAAATATAGTAAAGCAGTATTTTGTTTAAGAAGGATAAACCCATTAAAAGCTAAATATATGGGCCTTACATGCCCCCTGAAAACCATGTTATCCTAGTGGTAAAGGGTAAAGTCACCATGATCCAAGAGACCATAGGACTGTTCTCTCATTACAGTGAGCCAACCATTGGTGAGTGTAACCGGAGGTCACGATTGAGAAACATGGTAACCTCAGCTGGTATGTGGGAATTGAACCCATACTGTTGGCACTTTTGTATTGCAAATCAGCCATCCAGCCAACTCCACCAGAAGGTCAAAGCAGCCTATTTGATTGGCACACATCCACAAATATCCACTCCCTCCACAACTGAGAGTCAGTGACAGCAGTAAGTTCCATGTATAAGATGCACTGTAGACATTCACCATGACAGCAACTTTTAAATCCATGACAACTCCATTTTGAAACATACAGGTGTTGGTATTCCCATGTACATTCTGCCTTTAAGTCCCTTCCAAACCTTCCTGACTTGCAAATATGTCACTTTCTTTCCTGTGTCAAAATCCTGAAAATCCCTCCTTGAATGACAATGTAGGGCTATGTATAGCACATGGACTGCAATAGTTCAAGAAGACCTTGTCAAGGGTGAAAGTAGGAATCGGCAATACATCCATGCTCAGTCAGCAACACCCACATCCCATGAATGAATTCTTTTAAGAAAAATCCCACCATGCAGATGGGATTTGAACCCATGTCCCCAGACTATTAACCTGGTGTTCTGGAATTACTCTGCCAGTGATATTAGCACTGTGTGCTACAACTCACTCCCACCTGCCTCAAATGCTGTCCCCCATCCATGGCCCTCTCTCAGGCAAAATAAGTTAAAAGTAGAACAAAGGTCTTCAAGAACAAAATTTAGCCAAAAAGGGATAACATAAAGTAGAATTTCAGATTTAAAATGTGGATGCTGGGAGTTGGTTGAAACATTCAAGGCTAAGATTGATATATCTCTCTTAGATACATTAAGACAGGAAAAATATAGATGTTATGCTGATCATCCCTGTCTAATTGATGGCCCAGGGCATTGATTGAATAGCATCCTGTTTCTGTGTTCCTGTTTTATAAATTATTTCTCTTGTGTATTTATGTAAGTATGTTTGACTGCTGCTTTTAAGAGTCTGATCACATGTCATTATGATGTTATCAGCCAGAGGGAGAGTGAGCATCTCCTTACTACACTACTTGTTGTTTGTTAAAGATTTTGGCTTTCTAGCCTTCTCAAATCATAACAATTTCATTTCTTAAACGCAGCCCAACAGGAACTGAGGAAGTGCATTGAGCTGGTGCTTTAGCTAGTTTAGAGGAGATGAACCAATTCAGATGGCAGCAGGTTATTGGTTGCTGCCACACTCGTGTATACAGATCAAGACAAAGTCTAAATACACTGAATTTGATTGTGGAGCAATATTTGTAAGTAGGGTGTAGGATATCTGTTCAGTTAATCAATGCTCTCTCTGTGGCTTGTGGGCGAACCCTAGTGTTGCTTTTGACAACATTTTTGCAAGTCCTGAATGTATACTGCAGTGTATGTTGCCATCATTCAGTTAATCTTGTTACATACTCCAAATGATTCCTTGTACGTCAGTAAAACTTTGCACCCATGTTCATCCCTGCAGAGAATGTTGAACCCATGAAATGTTATGCCATCTCCATCTACCCTCTGCTTTTCAAAGGACTTGCAGTTCCATATTCTACTGAAGCATATTCCAAGCAAGGTGGTAAGTGACTATCAACTTCCCTCTCTTTATCCATTTTCTATCATACTCTTTAATTAGTGTTTCACTATAACACTTCATGTGACATCTCACACTGCTGATTGACTTCATTCTGTGAACAGGATAATTCTGGATCAAGTCTGAGTTAGATAGCTGGATGAATGTCACCTAAGAGTTATCACTCTTTCCTCATAAATTAAGTTTCTTATGGCTGCAAACATCATCATCATAAACCTGTGCTGGATTTTTTAAGGTCTTTACAATCTTCCCGAGGTATAGTTTCCAGAAATGTCCACAATAATTATGATGGGCGGCACTGTGGCTCAGTGGTTAGCATTGCTGCCGGACAGCACCAGGACCCAGGTTCGATTCCACCCTCGGGTGACTGTCTGTGTGGGGTTTGCACATTCTCCCCGTGTCTGCGTGGATTTCCTCTGGGTGCTCTGGTTTCGTCCCACAATCCAAAAATGTGCAGTCTAGGTCGATTGGCCATGCTAAATTGCCCATAGTGTTCAGGGATGTGTAGATTAAGTGGGTTATAGGGGGATGGGTCTGGGTGGGATGCTGTTGGGCCGAATGGTCTATTTCCACACTGTAGGGATTTGATGATTCTATGAATATGAGAGACAGCTCAAAATATCCTTGTCTTATAAAGGATAACACAGTATGGAGCTGAAAGAACACAGCAGGCCAGGCAGCATCAGAGGAGCAGGAAAGTTGATGTTTCGTGTCGGGACCTGACCCGAAATGTCAACTTTCCTGTTCCTCTGATGCTGCTGGTCTGCTGTGTTCTTCCAGCCTCCACACTGTGTTATCTCTGACCCCAGCATCTGCAGTTCTTGCTATCCCTGTCTTACAAAGTCTCACATTTGTAAGACCTCCTTCTAAAAATAAGAAAGATTGTAACAATCAATGTTTCTGTACAATATCAAAATACAATATTGTAAATGCTCTAACAGTGAACAGTCTAAGTAATATTCATTCCTCTTTGGAGTGGATAGATGGTGAGACCCCCAGATTTTGCTTCTGTTTGGGCAAGCCTTGTGCCACATCTTGTGCCACATGGGGAGTTGACGGTGGCTGAAGTCTTTCACCAGGGTGAGGAACTCCAAGGAAGTGGGTGTTGATTAGTGGGGTTCGTCAATCAGTACTGAGTGCTGCGGAACATGCCACCGTAGGCCGAAATTGGGGCAGGAGCTAGAGTGAGGGCCCAAGGTTTCACCCTTTGTTGCATGTTTGACCTCATCACGTTGCCAAAACAATCACAGAATGGGACATGAAGATTTACTCTCTGGCTTGCATGAGTTCTTCACATTCCAAGTATCTCACGAATGATGGTTTTGTTCACTGCTGGACCTGTCACCTTTCTTTTAAGATGAAAAACATTTGCCTTTGACATGTCACAATGACTTTTTCCATATCTATGACCTCAGATAAAAGATTGTGTACTTTTGTCACAGCCTTCAGTCTGCTGTTGAAAATGTGTTGAATCATGCACCATCTGCATCCAGAGAAAGTATCTGTGTGCGGCTGAATGCAATCACTACTTGCTTGGCCTGGTTAACTTTGTCAAAATCAACATTGCTGATTTCTGGAAAACTCATGCAGCTCTTGGATATTGATGTGAATTGGTGGATGTGAATTGTAATCATGTCACCTCTTACCCTCTGCATTCAGCCATTAACTTGTTTTTAAAGACATACCACATTGTCAGGTTTTACACTCTGTAAAATAGTATTTTCCTCCAGAGATAATAGGAACTGCTGATGCTGGAGAATCTGAGACAACAAGGTGTAGAGCTGGATGAACACAGCAGGCCAAGCAGCATCAGAGGAGGAGGAAGGCTGATATTTTGGGTCTAGACCCTTCTTCAGAAATGGGGGAGGGGAAGGGGATTCTGAAATAAATAGGGAGAAAGGGGGAGGTGGATAGAAGATGGATAACGGAGAAGACAGGTGGAGAGGAGACAGACAGGTCAAGGAGGCGGGGTTGGAGCCAGAAAAGGTGCATGTAGGTGGGGAGTTAGGGAGGGGATAGGTCAGTCCAGGGAGGACAGACAGGTCAAGTGGGTGGGGCTAGTAGATAGGAGATGGGGGTGGGGCTTGAGGTGGGAGGACAGGTTAGGGAGGCGGATACGAGCTGGGCTGGTTGGGGGAGGGGAGATTTAAGCTTGAAGTCCACATTGATGCCATTGGGCTGCAGGGTTCCCAAGCAAAATATGAGATGCTGTTCCTGCAACCTTCGGGTGGCATTGTTGTGGCACTGCAGGAGGCCCAGGATGGACATGTCGTCCAAGGAGTGGGAGGGGGGAGTTGAAATGGATCGCGACTGGGAGGTGCAGTTGTTTGGTGCGAACCGAGCGTAGGTGTTCCACAAAGCAGCCCCCAAGCCTCCGCTCGGTTTCCCCAATGTAGAGGAGGCCATAACGGGAACAGCAGATACAGTATACCACATTAGCAGATGTGCAGGTGAACATCTTCTTGATGTGGAAGGTCTTTTTAGGGCCTGGGATGGGGCGGGGTGGTGTGTAGGGACAGGTGTAGCACTTCCTGCGGTTGCAAGGAAAAAAGTGCCGGGGGTGGTGGGGAGTGTGGAGTGGACAAGGGAGTCAAGGAGAGAGTGGTCCCTCCAGAAAGCAGACAAGGGTGGGGAGGGAAAAATGTCTTTGGCGGTGGGGTTGGATTGCAGATGGCGGATGTGTCCGAGGATGATGCGTTGGATCCGGAGGTTGGTGGGGTGGTACGTGAGGACGAGGGGGATTCTGTTTTGGTTATTATTGCGGGGAGCGGGTGTGAGGGATGAGTTGCAGAAAATGAGAGAGACACGGTCAAGGGCGTTTTCAACCACTGAGCGGGGAGAGGGAAGTTGTGGAGGGGACTCCTCTGCTTCTTCCTGTTCCGCAGGCCTGACCAGTCCCCCTCCACTGACACCCTTATCCGCTTAGCGGAACTCGTCCTCACCCTTAACTTCTCCTTCAATTCCTCCCACTTCCTACAGACAAGGGGGGTGGCCATGGGTACCCGCATGGGCCCAAGCTATGCCTGCCTCTTTGTAGGTTACGTGGAACAATCCCCCTTCCATAGCTACACTGGCCCTAAACCTCACCTCTTCCTCCGTTACATTGACTGTATCGGCACTGCCTCGTGCTCCCACAAGGAGCTCGAACAGTTCATCCACTTCACCAACACCTTCCACCTCAACCTTAAAATAACTTAAGGTTGAGACCATCTCCGATACCTCTCTCTCCTTCCTGGATCTCTCTATTTCCACCTCTGGCAAACATATCCTACCGGCTCCCACAGCGACCTAGAGTACACCTCCTCTCACCCACCTTCCTGCAAAAATGCCATCCCCTATTCCCAATTCCATCACCTCCGCCGTATCTGCTCCCGAGATGAGGCATTCCACTCGGAGACGTCCCAGATGTCCTCGTTTTACAAGGACCACAACTTCCCCTCCAGTGGTCGAAAACGTCCTCGACAGTGTCTCTCGCATTTCCTGCAACTCATCCCTCACACCCCCTCCCCGCAATAATAACCAAAACAATTCCCCTCGTCCTCACTTACCACCCCACCAACCTCCGGATCCAAAGCATCATCCTCAGACACTTCCGCCATCTGCAATCCAACCCCATCACCAAAGACATTTTTCCCTCCCCACCCTTATCGGCTTTCTGGAGGGACAACTCTCTGTGACTCCCTTGTGCACTCCACACTCCCCACCAGCCCCACCACCCCTGGCACTTTTCCCTGCAACCACAGGAAGTGCTACACCTGCCCATACATCCTGCACAACCCCCCCACACCCATCCCAGGCCCTAAGAAGACCTTTCATATCAAACAGATGTTCACCTGCACATCTGCTAAAGTGGTATACTGTATCCACTGTTCCCATTGTGGCCTCCTCTACATCGGGGAAACCAAGCGGAGGCTTGGGGACCGCTTTGTGGAACACCTACGCTCGGTTCGCACCAAACAACTGCACCTCCCAGTCGCGAACCATTTCAACTCCCCCTCCTACTCCTTGGACGACATGTCCATCCTGGGCCTCCTGCAGTGCCACAAAGATGCCACCCAAAGGTTGCAGGAACAGCACCTCATTTCACTTGGGAACCCTGCAGCCCAATGGTATCAAAGTGCACTACAAGTTTCAAAATCTCCCCTCCCTCGACCACATCCCAAAACCAGCCCAGCTTGTACCTGCCTCCCTAACCTGTCCTCCCACCTATCCACTCCTCCCACCTCAAGCCCCACCCCCATCTTCTACCTATTAGCCTCATCCTGCCTCCTTGACTTGTCCATCCTCCCTAACTCCCCACCTACACTCACCTTTACTGGCTCCATCCCCGCCTCCTTGACCTGTCTGTCTCCTCTCCACCTATCTTCTCCTCTATCCATCTTCTATCCGCCTCCCCCTCTCTCCCTATTTATTTCAGAACCCCCTTCTCCTCCCCCATTTCTGAAGAAGGGTCTAGGCCCGAAACGTCAGCTTTCCTGCTCCTCTGATGCTGCTTGGCCTGCTGTGTTCATCCAGCTCTACACCTTGTTGTCTCTAGTATTTTCCTCCATCTTTTTTCAGTGGGTAAATTTAAGTGCGCAAGTGTGCACAAACTTTCCACTAGCCACAGGTGGAAATTATTATGCAGAACAATAAGGAATGTAGGAACAGGAGTAAGCCATTCAACCTCTTGAGCCTGCTCTCCCATTCAATTAGATTATTAAACTATGAGCAGGAGTAGGCCATTCAGTTCTTCAAGTCTTGCTCCACCATTCAGAATGATCATGACTGATCCTGTATCTCAACACCAAATTTGCACTTAACCTCCATACCTCTTGATCCCTTTTAAATCAAACTTTCTCAATCTCTTTCTTTTCATAGATTCCCACAGTGTGGAAACAGGCCCTTTGGGGTGGGATGCTCTGAGGTTCGGTGTGGACTTGTTGGCCCAAACTATCCCCCTATAACACTCCTAACCTACACATCCCTGAACACTACGGGCAATT